CAACGAGACCTTACTTCGCGCACGGGGGTCTACAGCTGATTTATCTGATTTAAGAAATGCGATCCATCAACAATAAGGTAATATCATAACTTGCAAGGCAGGATATTATGCAATCAGTTGGTACCACTTTTGCTTTACAATTTTGAGGATATCTGCTCTCAAAATGAAGATTTCCAGACCCTTATCGGTAAGTTGATAATTTTTCGGAACGGACGCAAATGAATGCAAAACTTGCCGATATTTTGTCAATAATTTCACAATTTCATACCCAATTCCAAAGAAAATTACGTCTCTGGGTAATTTTATAATCCTCTTTCCACTGATGATATCAGATTTTCGAAATCTTACCAATTTTTTTATTGAGATAGCGAAATTAGGTCCCGCGAGAACTATGGTCACACGTCCATACTGTATACAAAGCAGAATTACCGCTTTGCTGATATGTGAACAGTTAATTAGTAATCATTCAAAAGCCATTTTTTTTTATAGATAGATATGAAAATTGTATGGACATGTATAAATGCACGTAATATGCCTCAAAAGATCGCGATGTTTTGCGCTGCCGTTTACACTTGTGCTGAAACATCACCGACTGAAAAGATCAGTGATGTTTTGGCGTGTTTTGGTTGGTAATGCGCATGTGCGGTCCCGACCTTTGACCCTGGCCCTGCCATTAAATAATGGTTAAAAAACGGAAGTGCCGAAGGTCACGTGCCAAACATACGATTTTCACCTGCTACCGTTTACATTACCAAATATCACTAAACATTACGCGGACATGAAAAAAACAAACACATTCCTCATTGGAATGTTTCTGGCTAGGCATCTTTGGCGGTTTGCCGATCTTCCAAGTAGGCAGCCCCCCCCCCCCCCCCCCTTGACTGAGAGCTCTTTTCGATTGAGTTTTGGAAATAAAATCATTTGAATTGAATTGAATTGAGTACCACAATAACCCGGCCTTTTCAGGGTGAACTGTAACAATTCGCATAAGATCAGGTATATAGACCTACACACAAGCCTAATCCCCCCCCCCCCCCGTAGAGTATGCCTCGCCGGTGTGGAGTGGAGGCCTAACTAAAGAACAATTGGTTCGATTAGAAAGGGTGCAGAAAAGAACTCTGAAAATAATATTGGGACCTAATTACCAGTCATATGAGACAGCACTGAATCTAATGAATCCGTCTTCTTTGGCTAACAGAAGGAAGGAACTGTGCCTGAGCTTTGCAGAGAAACTGATATCAAACGAGAAGGTATCTTACCTCATATACCTCCTTGTAAGAATATTAGAAGCCTACGCAAATCAACTGCCAGAGAACAGATAAAATTTCGTAACAGTCCAGTTCCCTACCTAATTGACTTGCTAAATTCACAGTAGTGATCATGCACTTTGTACACATTTGCATAACATGTAAGCTTATCCCCATGGAGCCTGTCTAGTCCTTTTAGACTTTTCATCTGCATTTGATTGCCTGGACCACGCGACTCTCTTCAATCGGCTTGCTACGGCATAAAGGGATCCGTTCTGGAGTGGATAAAGTCTTATCTTAGTGGTCATTTCCAGACAGTAACTGTAAAGGGGTCACTGTCACAATCCTTTCCTCTCCGTTGGGGAGTGCCTCAGGGGTCGGTAGTGGGCCCCCCGGTATTTACCGCCTATACTGGTCCTCTTTGCCATGTGATCAGTTCGCACCATGGTATCCAGCACGCCATGTACGCAGATGATACCCAGCTTTACCTCGTTATGACAGCTGCTGTCGGTGACAGAAGAGATGCCATTAGTAGAATTACAGATTGTTTACATGATGTCAAGACATGGTCCTCAACCAACAACTTGAAACTTAATGAAGCGAAGACTGAAATGCTGCATATATCTTCTAGGTTCAGGCAGCAGTCTGATGATTTCTACCCTCTGGATATTTCTGGAGTTTGTGTGCAGAAGTCAGAGTGTATACGAGATCTTGGTGTAACTTTCGACAAGCACCTCTCCCTTGCTCAACATATACGCAACAAGTGCAGGGCAGCTTCTTGGGGAATAGCCAGGATTGGCAGAATCCGAAAGTATCTCGACAATCCTGCTACGGAAAAACTTATCCATGCATTCGTTTCATCTCACCTCGATTATTGTAATAGCCTTCTAGCCGGTCTACCTCAATCCCACATTGCACCCCTTCAACGCATCCAGAATACTTCCGCTAGACTAGTCACACGTACCAAGAAATCTGAACACATTACCCCAATCATCCAGTCTCTTCACTGGCTACCGATACAGGAACGCATTGTCTTCAAAATCCTCCTCCTTGTCTACAAAGCTATCCACGTCCAAGCCCCATCATACCCACAGAACCTCATCTCACTCCGAACCTCATTAGCTTCTTCTGCATCTCGACGTTTACGCTCCAATGGTACTGCCCACCTTCAACTGCTACCTGGACCTCGCACCAAGACACGCTACGGAGACCGCTCATTTACAGTTATTTCCCCCAAGTTATGGAATAATCTCCCCATTTATATACGAGCAGAAGCCCTTACATTAGAATCATTTAAGTCTCTCCTGAAAACCCACCTCTTTCCATAACTGTGATTACCCTACCTCTCCCCAAGTTATTTATTTTAAGCGTAATTAATAATACCTTGCAGTTTAATGATATTGTAATTTCTATTGCATAATCTTGTATTTAAGATTTAAGATGTATAATTATCATATTGAATGTAAGAATTTGTATTTAAGTTGTATTTTAATATTTCACATGGTTTATGATAATTCTGATTCCATATCTGGTTTATTTATAATCTCAATCAATTTTGATGCAGTCCTTATTTTGCAGTTTAATGATATTGCAGTTTAATGATATTGTAATTTCTATTGCAAAATGTTGTATGATAAGTATTTTAAGATGCATAATTCTTATATTGAATGTATATAATAGTTTGCATTTAAGTTGTACTTTAATATTTCATATGGTTTATTATAATTCTGAGTCCATATCTGGTTTATTTATATATTTCAATCAATTTCGATGCGGTCCTTATTTTGTGTAATGTCATATTCTTCTTTGCCGTTTACTTGTAATTCAATGTTTTTAAATGTTCCTTTAGTATTTCTCACTTTTCCTTCCTTATCCTTTCTTCTTTCTCTTGCGCTTAGAAACATTGTATTGAGCGCATTATAAATGTAATGTATTATTATTATTATTATTATTAGTGATGAGGTAGAGGTGCTGTAGAATTATTTTATTTTATGTCAAATAGTATATAACTTTTTGTTACCAAGACAATTGTACAACCTTGATAATTGATAAATGAAAATGATGATATAATAAAGTAAATCAAGATTACCATTGTTACCTTTTGAAATGATTGAAACATACTTACCACATATTTATTACAAGAAAAATCTCAAAATTACAATATTTCATGTCTTTCATCTGATTGCATACCGACCTATCAATTTACAATATATGTTATCCATAACTCACCATTGGAAATGTAAAATGTAATTTATTAATTTTTACAACCAGTATTCTCTCTGTCGAAATTGTACTTTTTACCTTATTTTCGATATGTCTGATATACACTCTCATCCTCAGCATTATCTTATATATATATATATATATATATCTCGCTTTGTCTCTCTTTCTCTCTTCCTTTCTCCCTTTCTCTCCCTCTGTCTTTCTCTATCTCACACTTTTCCTGGATATCCTATGCTGTCTGCACTATTATCCTCCGTACCTCTCTTCTATATTTCCCTCCAGCCCTGTGATGATTGTGGAATAGAATTAAGCGACTGTTAGCTGTTAAGCGAATTTTATGAATTTTATTAATTTGTATATACTGTATATGTGTACACTGATTCATTCACTGCGTGATATGTCTTAATACGTTTTATGTTTGTATAAATATTTATGTTTTTACAATGTACAAAGTTCTGCAATTCAGCCATCTGGCTACAAACGAATTTTTAATAAAACCATTACCATTAATTCAATTCAATATTGGCTTATTATGCAATTTCAAAATACATGCATCTTAATTGTCATTTTACATGAAAAGCAGCAGTAGCTCGATTGTTCATGTTTACATGTTGACATGATAGAGTGATAAATACATATAGGCCTATATCAATCGCATTTTTAAATATTTACACGTTAAAAAGATTGTTAAAAATACATTTGAAATAACATTACACATTAAAAATGACAAAAAAAAGTTTCTTGACATTAGCATCAGTATACGGAAGTGTGAGGTGATCCTGTTGAAACTTCCGGTCGTTTAGATAGTATGTCATAAATTACTGTCGTTACGTACACCTTTATTTTCATCTGGCTCGAATTTTGCTTGGTTATTTGGTAATGGAGGATTAACGTGAAATAAGATTACATTTTTTACATGATCGCACTATGTCTGATTCATTCAGTTTCTAATGTTTTCTGACTGTTTTCAAGACAATTTCATTTTTGTCAATCGTAGTTTTATCTAGCTTTATGTCCCATCCACGGTAATATTTAGGGAAAGCAATATTAGCAATGATCGTTGCTGAATTTTAGATGTAGAAATAGTCTGTCCTTTTCTAAAAGTTGATACACTATGACATTTATACTTCATCTATATGTTGCATCATTAGAATATAAATCATTCTCAGAATATTAAGTTGTTACCATGGCAACAGCTATTCTCAAGCGTGACCATGACCCTGGATAACCCCTGTGTTATTTGCAATCTAACATGTAGCTTGATTTATATATATATTTACGCTTACAATGTGCTTCTATGTATTTCATTTTAAAATATGTTATATTCTGAAAACAATTATTCATTGTCATGCCAACGTTTCTGGCAATGTCACCAAAACCACGTTTAATGTCAAACAGGCAGTTAAGAATAGCCAGTCATCTGGGTTCCACGTACAATTTTTGGTCAGTAATAACACTTACCTTCAATATTAACATCTCTGAATATTACACATTACATTATTTGTGTTATCTCCATATCCGCCTTTTCAGCATCTACCAAAAACACGAATGCTCCAGAATTTCCACGATGGTGGATAGTATTTCAAAACCGAGACTGTACTTCATCACAGTGTGCTTCGTTGTCATGACGACCTGTGTCTATCTGAATAGTGTAACTATCGGTACGAAGCTATACAGCCACGGCAGGTAAGCACTCTCCCGAAATAATTGTCATGTTTATCCATAATTTTAGGATCAGCTCAATACGCCACTCTTACCAAAAACGGGCTAAAAAATGAAGAAAAAAAAGACGTGTAGAATAATTTTTGACGGAGATTCCGAACGCGACAATGATTTTTAAACATGACTACTCAGAACGCTTAGGAAAAAAGCCCAGTTTCGGAGCTGTGTTGCGCAATAGCATATGACGTCACTGCAGGAGCCTCTCCGGTGAAAAAGAGGGTGATTTAGGCATTAAAATGTCTTTATAAAGGCAAACTATGATATTAATTGAAGAAAAAAGACATTTATCCGAAAAATAATATGCACTTTATAATCTCAGTACGTTTCTGGCAATTTCGCCATTCCTAATAATGAATTGCAATGATATTGTAAGATCCTCAGATGCGTCATCAAGCCACGAGACCCTAAATGGATGGATAATGTAATTTTGGGGTCAATTTCGAGATTTTCTGAAAAATCAGAGGCTGGAATATTTAATAAGTAGAGGTGTATTCATGTTTTGAATGACTATGTTAGTAGGGTTAGAGTGGCCCTTTAAAGTCTGATGACATCCAAATTTAAGTTGATTTCTGTTGATGTGCAGGGATGCATAAAACTCATATTTTGTTATTCAAACATCTAAAAATATTTTATCGAATTTGAGATATTAAAGGGAAAGTCCACCCCAGGATTTTTTTTAGCTGACGATATAGACCTAATAATACCATGAAGAATGATACAAGTCTCATTAAAATCCATGATCACATAACGAAGATATATCGACTTTTTTAATCGAAAATCAGCCGCCCCCCAAATGCAAATGCGTTACATGGGCATGAAACGATCGCCACAAAATAACCGATAGTATCGAAATTGTGACGTATGTTGCGAGCTGCCTTCTTATTTCGCAGACATTCACTTTCGCTCGCGGTACACTGTTATCGCACTGACACGACGAATCATGAATGAAAGTGAAAGCGAAAGTGAATGTCTGCGAAATAAAGAAGGCAGCTCGCAACATACGTCACAATTTCGATACTATCGGTTATTTTTTGGCGATCGTTTCATGCCCATGTAACGCATTTGCATTTGGGGGGCGGCTGATTTTCGATAAAAAAGTCGATATATCTTCGTTATGTGATCATGGATTTTAATGAGACTTGTATCATTCTTCATGGTATTATTAGGTCTATATCGTCAGCTAAAGAAAATCCTGGGGTGGACTATCCCTTTAAACAAACAAATTATTTAACTTGTTAAGCCGAGGTGTATTGGCGAGTTATGACGAGTTGTGATGAGTTGCCTCAAAGAGGCACTCGCAATACTCGCGAATAGCTCTTCTTGTAAATTGGGATAACTCGCGACAACTTAGTATGGCTCGGCGTAACCTTTTACAACATTTAACGGCTCTCCTCGAAGTCGCGAGCAGTTTCAGAATTTTGAACATGTTCAAAATGTTCACTGACTCGTTGAAACTCGAGGTGAACTTGCTTACACTCGCAATATAATCGCATTACTCGTAACAAGCTTGCACTGCACTCTTCATAACTCATAGCATCTCGCCACCTTCAGGTATACGCGAGTGCTATTCGAGTTTCCAAGAGTGGAGTACGAGCACGACGATCGTGCTGCGTGTCATGCCGAGTTGCCTACGATATTAACGCGAGTTTAGATCGAGTACGGGGACTTACGACGAGTTTCGTATGAGCATGAGCAGGGTGCAAGGCGATCATATCGAGCATGACGAGCGCACCATGATACGCCAGCTGGCCTACAATATTGTGCAGACGATCAAGGCCTGTTCTTTCTCCAACATATCGAGCAAATATGCTTCTGGCATCCATCTTTATTTTGGAGAGCGCCAAGATCAGAGGCAGCCCTCTTCGGGGGACAGGAGAGCAGGGAGGGGTGCCGGGGGCACATTGCCCCCACTTTTTTAAGTACTCGAAATGTGCCACTTTCTACATAGGAAAAGTGCCCCTTTATCTTTGAATTGTGCCCCTATTAATTTGTAGAAGTACTCCTACCCCTTTAATAATGATAAGCGCTATATACAAAATTAAATATTATTATTATTATTATTTTTACCTCTTATATTAAAGTGCCCTTTTATTTTGACAAGTGCACCTTTTCTTTCGACAAGTTGCCATTTTCCTTTGCAATATTTGCCCCTTTTCACTTTTAATAATTGCCCCCTTCACGTCTGATAATTTGCCTTATTTAAATCTGAGATGTGCCTCATTTATTTTGACAAGTGCCCTTTTCCTTTGTAAGAAGTGCCCCTTCACATGTTAATAACTCTCTCTCTCTAAGTGCCATATCGATTGACTTTGGCGATCATGCTGTTCCACAACCCTCGGTTCCTAGCCTTCTGTATTAGTACCACTCCCAGTTCTTTCATTCCTCTCTGTTCCAACAATTTCTGCAGACTGTCCATCCAAAGTATCCTCCTTCTTCCCCTGCTCCTTCTTCCCACAATTTTCCCTGTCAAAGCAAGATTCTCTAGGCCTTCTTTACGTGTAATGTGACCCATGAACTTCTACTGCCAAATCAACATCTCACGTATCATTTTCCTTTGCACTCCAGCTCGTGTAAGAACTTCCTCATTACTAACTTTGTCAGTCCAGGGATTTTCATCATTCTTCTTAGAAACCACATTTCGCAACTTTCCAAACGCTTTTTAGTATCAGAGGCTAAAGTCCACGTTTCACTACCAATACATAAGTACTGGGTAGATGTAACAATTCAATACTCATTGTTCGATTTGTCAGAATTTTCCCTAGCTTTAAAAATGCAGATTTAGCGAGAGCTATCCTTCTCTTGATCTCTGTCTCACATCTGGCATCCTCGGTGATCATGCTGCCGAGGTAGTTAAATGAGGAGACTTGTTTAATAATCTGTTCTTTCAGTTTTCATGCAAATACCATACAAATTAGACAATTTCAAGCGAGTTCACGCGAATTTACGCGCGTTCAAGCTCGCGCCAGCTCGCCACAACTCGAAGCTCCAACTCGGCTAAGTGGGAGCCCTGCTTGAGGCTCCACCCTAAAAAAAAATGTTCCCCAGATCTCATTCATATTGTGACTTCATCTGTCAATCATTAGTGATCTAACAAGAGTCGGTGGTATGTAATTTACCTCAGCTCAGCACATGCTCACAAAAGAATTGTCTTCTCACATGCAATACCTCCACATTACCTTTCTTTTCCTGGTGATATTCACTATGAACATGACGGACAAAGAAAGAGGACGAAATATACAGTTCCTCAGGTAGACATAGGAACATCCCTTTCCTGCTATTATGTAAAAATGTGTAGAACAGGTGTCACATGTATATTCACCTGTTCTACACACTTTTACATGATAATAGCAGTGAAGGGATGTTCTTTTGTCTACCACAGCAATTGTTGAGGGTAGAATGAGGAACTGTTTATGTTGTCCTCTGTCTTTGTCCGTCATGTTCATAGTGATTACAGCACGTCTGACATAGCAACTCCTATGTTGGTATTAAATGGTCTATTGTTAACAGGTGGTCAGCCCTGGTGAAGCGTCATAGCAAGGAATAACAAAGTTCTGTTTATTTATAAAAGTAATGCTTGCATTTCCATAATTTTATTAAACGAATTCGTTTTGACTGGGTGCCTGCCGTATCAATAAATAGAGTTGACAACAGATTTTAATGGCTGATCGTTAACGAAACGGATTGGTGAGTAAAAATGATTGATTGCTATTCTTACGTCTTCTTTGTTGTTAGGGGAGTTGTTAGGGCAGTCAGCATGTGGAACGGATTCGTTTAATAAAATTATGGAAACGCAAGCATTACTTTAAACAAACAGACGGCCGGTTGAGCATTACAATATTGGCATTATGCGCTATGCATGCCTGCATGGTGGTCTGACCGCTCTCATCCATATAGCTATCGCTGTACTACGAAGTAAGAGCGGGGTACACGCCCGCACCCACTGGACTCGAGTGCGGCGTTTTAATACTTGTGAACAGTGCGAGTACGTCGCTCTAGTAAATCTTTGGGCCGAGTTTCGGCTAATTAAGCTATATATCGTTATACTCGGGGAAGGGGAGGGGGTCCCAGTTTAACAGACAACTTCTCGACAGTGGGCTAATAAAAGAGCTAGCACCACCTTTCTTTCTTTTTCTTTTTTTTGAGGGGGATGGGCCCGGGGGTGGGTGGGTTGTAGTTTCATTATGTTTACTCTACATTAATGTACTTATTCATGATACTTATCTAGATAGAGATAGCAGGCTGAGGATTATATTTTTGCTCATCAGTGAAGGTTTTCAAAAAGTGGAACAAGTCCTACATTTATATGGAAATGTCTATAGTACATAAATGTACATTGTGCCCCACGCGTTACCACAGGTAAATAATATATTGTGTTAATTAGATAAATCTGATCCAACCTCTTTTTAATGGAATTGGGCTGTCCCAAGGTATTAAGCTCAGAACTTATTAAAGTTTCACTCAAATTCAATGTCGCATCTGTAAGTAATTCAAACATATTGGCCCGAATTCACAAAGCAAGGTTTGAGCTCAGACCAAGGTTTAAGTTTAAACCTCCTTTTGTTATTTACAAACCAGGTTTATAAATAACAAAAGGAGGTTTGGCGAAACAAAAGGAGGTTTAAACTTAAACCTTGGTCTGAGCTCAAACCTTGCTTTGTGAATTCGGGCCATTATCTTCAAAAGGTAACGCGTGGACATGCACATTTTGGAACATCCCTCATTTGGATATTCAATTGGTTGACGACCTGAAATTTCTAATATGGATGACCTATCCCGTATGCTATATGTCTTTGTTGATAATATATATTAAAAACTATTGAAATACATTAAAACGGATGAGGTGTTTTTTAATGTCCCACGCGTTGGATTACATATGAATATATAACTTTGGCACGTGACCGTGATTACTTTAAGAAAAGGTATGAAAAGACGAAGTGTGATTGTTGCTTTGGAAAATTTCAAGTATTATAAAAACAAAACAAATAACCTAAACAAAAATATTTGAAAAGAGTCTTACCAAAACGAGTTCTCAGAATGCAGAAATGATTTGAGCAAAAATTGGAAGGTTTTGAAAAAATTCATGCCTTCAAATCAAAAGGAGATAAACAACACAATCTTGATTGATGATAACAAATAATTACTGACAAAGTAAAGGTAGCAAGTTTATTGAATGAAACTTTTAATAATGTGAGTTCAAATCGACACACTGGTACATGTCCTAGCATTGTAGATGGTAACTTCAATTCTTTACAAACGTTATTTCAAACCGATTTTGCTTTTGAATTTCAAGGAATCAAATATGAATTTGTTAGAAATGAACTACGCAACATTGATTGTAAAAAGGCTATAGGAATGGATGGTCTACATCCCAAGTTACTCAAATTAGCTGGAGATATCATTGCAAAAAAACTCACTATCTCATTTAATCAATCATTAAAATCTTCACGATTTCCATTTGATTTCAAAGTTGCAAAAACACTCCGATACACAAGAGAGGTACCTTTGGTGTGGGTAATTTCAGGCCCATTTCAATACTGCCCTCTTTGTCAACAAATCAAGAGAAAGCCGTACATAAACAATGTATTCTTACCTTAACCAAAATAATATATTATCAGAACGTCAGTCTGGATTTAGACCGCTTCATTCCTCAACCACATGTCTCACAGAAATTACTGATTACCATTTTTTAATAATATGAATTCAGGTCAGATTACTGGAACAATATTTAACGATCTTAGTAAAGCGTTTGACGTTATTCCACATAAAATAATACTTGATAAACAAATTTTCGAAGGCATGAGTAACAAGGTATATGAATGGTTTAAATCTTACTTAATTGGTAGACAAAATTGTTTTACTATAAATATTTATTGTAGCGAGTATTTAACTGTTAAATCCGGGGTGCCACAAGGGACAATTCTGGGCCCCTTGAATTTTTGTTTGTATATTAATGATATTAATAATTTAAAATTCATAATAACTCCAAGATGTCACTTCTTGCTGACGATACTGTCAATTTAAATAATTCTAACGATTTTTCTGAAGTTCAAGAACATTTACAGAATGACTTTGATTTAATATGTAAATGGTTTGATATAAATAAGATGTATATACACCCTCAGAATAACTATGGCGATGTCCTTTGGATCAAAAAAAAAGTTGGAGAACAATCGTCTCTCAATTAAATCAAATGGTTATAACTTACAGTGTGTCGAAACAATAAAATACCTAGGAGTTATACTTGCCTCACAATTTACGTGGTCTGAACATATAACATAAATAAGTACTAAGATATCCCGTTCTATTGGATGTATTCCTCAAATAACAAGCCTAATACCCCAAAAAGGGATAAGGTAGAGGTGTTGTGGTCGAGTGGATACGTCGCCGAACTGTCGATCACAAGGTCCGCGGTTCGCGTCCCGCCACCGCACTAATGTCCTTTGGCAAGACATTGATCTACATTTTCCACACTCCACCCAAGTGAAGTAAATGAGTACCTGGTAGGAATTTATTCCTTGAAATGCTAAAGCGCCGTATGGCAGCCGTGCTAAAGCCAGGGTTATAATCGGGAGCGTCAGGAGGGTCAAATCTGACTGACATGAGCGCTATACAAGAACCCACTATTATTATTATTATAAAACTTTTGTAAACCTCTATTTTGCATTAATGTTACCACATAGCGACTATTGTTGTACTGCTTGGGGAAACTGCTAAAAGACAAATCTATCGAAGCTGCAAAAGTTACAAAATAGATTTGCGAGATTAATTTTAAATAAATATTTCGACACACCACTTTAAATTGGCAATCGGTCGAACAAAGATTACAATATCACTACGTCACTACGGTTTGTTAGTTTTTAAAATTATAAATGTCATGGCCCCAACTTATTTAAAATCACTTATCAATTATCGCACCTTCAAGTACTGTACCCGCTATTCATTGAATTCTCTTCTTGACATCCCATACCCGAATTTAAAAAAAAAATCTGTTATAAAGCAAGCAACCTGTTTAACAAACGTCCTTTCTCAATTCAATCAACCAAATCAATTGAAACATTTAAGCGAGGATGCCAATTGGCAAAGCATTTATTATAGTAGAGTCTCCGTTCTGTTTCCCTTTACCTGTATAATTATTTTTTTCTGATGTTATATATATTTGTACTCTAGATGATGTCAACTATGTCAATATTTAGTTTTTATGAATGTTCTTTTTTCATGTATTCCTTGTGTTTTTGTGTAGCACATGTTTGTTATGTCGTCCTAGAGGGCGTACTTGGAAAGCAGTTTTTTACTGAATGTAGTCCTACCTACCGTCTATTTTAAATAAAACTTAAATAATAAATCATCATTTTCAGAAAGAGGATTATCATTATTATTGTAATTACTATTATTATTTCGTCATTATCTCAGCTTGATCAATGCTGCTTTTATCTGATTAGCATACTGAGGGCAAGCTACAACCCGTAGCCTTAGGCCTCAATTACTTTTCATAAGAGTCTTGCGGTACCAAGCAGAGCTGCTTTCTGCAGGAGCTCTATCTTTGTCGTAACCCAAATCTTCTTCAGATGTTTGGGAAGATTGCTTGTGATAATGCCTAATGCACCAACCACCACGGGGTAACCTACATCATATTCATTATTAGTATTATTCATTAGTAGTAGTATCAACGCTAACGTGTTGTTGTATTTTTCCGCCTTTAGAATGATGCCGAATGCAAGTTCATGGCACCCTCATCGTCCACCTGACCCAAACGTCAACTGGACATGCAGTCCAAAACAGCGGATTGTATTCTGCAAGACACACAAGACCGGTTCGACAACCACTGCAGCTCTTCTGGAAAGGTTCGGTTACCACCGAAACCTGAGTTTCGCTATGGGTAGAAACAGTCATATTATCTCCCACACTAAACTATTTCATCATTCTATGGCTTTCAAAATTCCTAATAGAACACGCCAAGACTTTGATTTCCTGGTAAACCACATTCGCTTCAATAGAAAAGAGATGGATATTTCGGTGCCGAACGCTAAGTATATTTCGCTAATTCGAAACCCGATAACCCAACTCGAATCAGAATTCGGATACTTCGAAATGGCAGATAAGCTCAAGATCAAAACCAAAAATCCGTTCATGACCTTTATGTCGAATCCGCAGAAATATTATCACATGAATTCAAATATGTGGTGGCGACGGAGAAACGGACAGTTGTACGATTTGGGACTCGATCATAAATACGATGAGAATTTGACAGTCATCAAGGACAAAATTCAACAATTATCCACCGAAATAGATCTCATGATGATGAACGAATATTACGATGAATCAATGATTCTTCTGAAAAAGATGATGTGTTGGGATTTTGAGGACGTTCTTTACATTAAGATGGGAGTTCGTAGCGACTCGCACCGTTATCCCCTAACTGAAGGCGCAGTGGAGAAAATCAAGGTATGGAACGCGGGCGACGTGATGCTCTACGATTATTTCAATCGCACTTTTTGGCAGAAAGTTCGCGCTTACGGCTCGACATTCTCCCGTGATCTCGCCCATCTGCGGACCATGCTACGTAATGCGTCTGATCAATGTATACACTCTGATAAGAAAAACCTTAAAGATAAACGGGTCGAACAATTCGTCCTTAAACCTAACGCATCGAAATATTGTACAGATTTGAAACGCGGCGACGTCCAATACACAAAGCTGATAAGGAACGAGATGATCGAACGGGGTCGGCTTGAGTTTGAGAACAAAAATCGTTCCCTCGGATAGGTAAGTAAACTATTGAATATTGTAACATTTACTTTCTCTTGAGTGGTATCTATGAATAGAAATGTGACATGAGGAGAATGTATTACCGCAAACTTATGAATTTATACACACCAACATGCATCACCAAACATTTAGAGATCTTCTTAGGATGGTATTGTGTAGGGCAATGACCAGCGTGAGTAAAGCACAGTTGGATTGAATGATCACGCTTGTGAGGCTCTTTCGCACCGTCCAATGCAGCGAAATATCAAGCGGTCAAGTATTGCACATAACCGATTCAAGAAATCCTTTGCATTCGATGCCATTGGTAAACTTTGTATTTGAGAGGGGAAGTCGGTGAAAGTGATAAATACAAAGAATGATGTATGTGTGAACGATTGGCCGCAGTTTATCTGATTTGATGAAGCCGATTTTACAATGAAATGGAAACAATACCTGTCATGTTTGTACACCATTAATTTCTCATGGTTACGAATGAACCTCACAGAGACAGAGAAGCGTGATCTTTCAATACTGTGCTTTGCTCAAGCTCTTAACGAGCATGTTATCTCAACCAACACGGATTTTGTATAGATGTAATAATTTATAAACTTATGATGGTTTTAGTAAAGTTGGTAAAGAATAAGAAGTGATACGAATGAATTGAATTATGCATAAAGCCTCGGCTAGATCTGACGCGGTAAACCGCAGCGGGTTTTATTTTCTGATGACGTCAGTATCATACGCTTCATATTCTGTATCTTCTAACACAGAGAACTTGAAGAACTTTGATTTAAAGAGAAGGTTCATTGATTTTAAAAACTAACTATAATGTCATTAATGCAAAGGTAAAACTTTGATTAGACAAGGTTATCACAATTCCATGTTTGGAAACATTCGAAGTAATGATTATTATCAATTACAAAAAGCTTCAATACAGCCCCGGCATAGCACCTGAAGAGCTTTCCGAACGCAGTTGAGATGTGTGACGTCACATGTTAAACATGATTTGCACATTCAGACAATGTTCCATGACATCTCACATATTTTTAGTGCCTGTTTTGTCATCTTCTCTTCAGTTATTTCTTTACTTCACTACCGTCAGTCTAAATGTTCAATCTATTGCCTCACTGATGAAAATGCAAAGATAACAAATTTAAGGAATCCGTCGCTTGTAAACCAAATAAGACGCCATTGTATTTTCAGCTGCATACACCGCGGTATGTTTGGCGTTTCAAGGGCGAAAAATGCCGTCCATCCTATTATTCCGGGGGGGGGGGGTTAAATTTAAAAGTGTGGTCTCTTTGATTGTTCATTAACCCCTATCCTGTGTATTTACAAACAAAAACAATTTAGTTATCAGAATCGATTTCATATCCCTTTTTGAATGGTGTAAAATGCCATTACATTTATATACACTAAACTTATCATCATTTGAGAAATAATAGCATTGCAATTATGTAAGGTAAAGCAAGGTAAAACACTTTGAATTTGCATAATTATTTCTAAGTTTATTCCGAAAGTATTTATCGTACTAATTTTTGCTATGTTCATGATGCTTGATTATGATTGAGTGATATTCAGTTGGTATGCCGTGTATATTTGTTTATACAATGTATTTGTTTTTGTATGTGTTTGTACTTCAGAACCTGAAGAAGGCCTCACAAGCCGAAAGCTCGTAATAAACTTGTAAAGTACAGCTACGTGTCACGTTCCCAGTTCATTTTCTTCACGCCTATATATACAGTGCGTCCCAGAAAAAACGAAACCGAGAAGTATCGATGTTCTATCATAACTTAATCACAACTATAATTAATGAATGATACATATTTGGAAAGCTTAGAGTCTCCTCTTTCAGTTGATGCTACTCCCGTGATGCATATTTCACGCATAAGTGATTAAAAGCAATTTAAAGGAAGGAAACCAAAAATACATTTGGCGGGCGGTATCTGAATTTCGAAGAAAAATTCACATTTCTAGAAAGTTGAGTTTCTGCCCTTTCATATGACACCTCAATCAGGAAAAATGAGCAAGGAATGACAAAGTTCTGTTTGTTTAAAGTAGTGCTTGCATTTCCATTATTTTATTAAACGAATTCGTTTTCACTGGCTGCCTGCCGTATCAATAAACGAAATTAACAAAAGACTTAACTCCGTTTCGTTGACAATCAGCCGTAGACGAGAGTCTTCATGCATGGCTGATTGTCAACGAAACGGAGTTAAGACTTTTGTCAAATCTGCTTTTTGCTACGGCAGGCACCCAGTGAAAACGAATTCGTTTGTTAAAATTGTGAAAATGTAAGGGCTACTTTAAACAAACAGAACTTTGTTATTCCTGGCTCATTTTTCTTGATTGAGGTATCATATGAAAGAGCAGAAAATGAACTTTCTAGAAATATGAATTTTTCTTTGAAATTCAGATACCGCCCGCCAAATGTATTTTTGGTTTCCTTCCTTCAAATTGCTTTTAATCACTCATGCGTGAAATGTGCATCACGTGAGTAGCATCAACTGAAAGAGGAGACTCTAAGCTTTCCAAATATGTATCATTCATTAATTATGGTTGTGATTAAGTTATGATAAAACATCGATACTTCTCGGTTTCGTTTTTTCTGGGATGCACTGTATATATATATATATAAGCAAGTTTAGTAAAACTGCAATTTCTGACAGTGCTCAACTGTAGGAGCAAATGTAGATATAGGAGTTGGAAGGTTACACTTTATTGGTACGAGTTATACAGACTGTTTCGCCAGAAGGCTCATCAGTAACTAAATACATTATACAATCATGGCGAAGTTAAAAACACTCATGTGCAGTCAGGCAAGAATACAAAAGAGATACAAATAATACCCAAGTAAGGGTGAACGCAATAATACAATAGTGGAATTAAGTGGTTTAAGGGTAAGGGGAAAGGTCATGGTGGTACAGGGGGGGGGGTTTAACCCTATTTAGAGAGTAGAAACTTTCTCTTATGTCTACATGTGGAAATGAGTTCGGTTCTAGAGTTTAGAATGGTGGATTTATCAGAGTGATGATGTGGTACTTTTCCCATAGGCAGAGATTGCAGCGATTTGTTCTGGGTGAGTATGGTTGGGCGTGACGGATGATTCTCCATGATATTGTGTAGGGTGTCCCGTCGTCTTTCAGCATCCAGGTGTGTTTGCTTAGCTCGGTCTGGTATCTCTTTTCTTGGTGGGTGAAGCTTGCTTTGTGCGTTGCATATCTGGCTTTGAAGGAGGTGGATGTGAGTCCAATGTAGAGTTTCTCATCGTTAGGGGTCACAACCTTGGCTTCATAGACGATATTTTTGGTTGTGCATTTTCCTGGGAGGGGGCAGTCATCTTTCTTTCTGCAGTTGCAGGTTGCTGGATCTCGGTTGGGGTTGTGGTTGATGACTCTATTGTTGTGGGCCTTGGTTATTGTCGCTATATTATCCATGCAGCTGTAGCTGATCTTCATTGTGTTTCTATTCTTGCCTGACTGCACATGAGTGTTTTTAACTTCGCCATGATTGTATAATGTATTTAGTTACTAATGAGCCTTCTGGCGAAACAGTCTGTATAACTCGTACCAATAAAGTGTAACCTTCCAACTCATATATATATATATATATATATACTTAGCTATACAATGGTTTTACACATATATATACTCAGTTATACATACAGTATATTTATATATAGAGAGATATATATATATGTATACATGTATATACCTTCGTAAAGAAAATGTGATACCTATCCGAATGAAGTAATTTAAAATTCTTTTCAAAGTTGTAATAACTTCAAATGGACAGGTACCAAATCTTCTTTAACTAAATATGGAAAAAAATTCCTTTCACCAATTTACCATCATGCTTTCAATATGAGTATATTCTAGACAAATATTAGGTAAAAGCAAAATGTTATGATCACTGTTTACCCTATATTTGGTAGATACTATATTATTTGTAGATTTTAAGTGAAACATTGCTTTGTCTAGTTGACAATCAAATTCTCTCAAGTTATAAACTAGGCACCAGTATGATTTCATTAAACTTTTTGTTAAATAGGCCCTGTTTATCAAGCCTTGCTGGCAACTAAATCCTCTGTAGTTTAGTATTATTGAATCTCTCATGTCGTAAGAGAAGTATCACAATGTTTAGAAAGTGGGTTTATTCCTGTTTTAAATGATACCTCATTTGTTGGGATTTTCAGTCATTGAATATGCAGTAGGTCAAGATAAGGGTGAAGGTAAAAAGTGAAAAGTTGCAAAAATGCACTGCTCTTGTTCGTCTGTGCATTCAAATTGCCCTATTGCACTGGCTTATCAAAGGGTGTTAACCTAGGCATGATGCTTCAGAAAGTTGAGGACCAAATAGTCGCTTATCTTGCCTGACATCCCACCGGTGTGCATGCATTTCAATGTCTGATTTCTTAGAATTTGGCATTCATGATTAATGACCAGTTGGAAACAACAGCCCCTCATTTATAGAAACTCACAGAATGCTCTACAAAACAATATCAGTGCTTACCGGTTCATTTTGCAACTTTTCTTTTCTGACCCAGCCCCTCGATATAATGTACTGCTCACTCCATGACAGTAAAATCATAACAAACATGGCATCATTTTAAAGACGAATAAGTGCGCTTTCCAATGATAATAATCAAAGCAATCCGTATGCCGTGGTAAGAGATCTAAAATTGATCTAACTTGAGTTTCCAACCTTTTTGTTGATGGTTTTAGGAATTGTAGTTGGCTACTAGGGCTGGTTGGCAACTAGCCTAGTTAATTTTTATGACTATGGGTCCTGGTGTACTGTATTTACTATTGTGTAGCCTTTTAAAAAATAATTATATTACATTAAGATCATTTTTGGCTACTTTAAGTGCCATCTGTACAGATTTCCAATGGCTTTCGTCTTTCCAATGAAATAAAAATGAATTCAACGTTACCAAATGGATTTTTCAATCATTTTGTGTTGTTGAGTAGTGCATAAATATATACAGAGGGGTAGCATTAGTTAGATTCGTATTCTTCAAATTGGCGTACTGGTGCAAAGAGGTAGGGTGGGGATGGGCTTTCTTAATAGGTTAATTAAATGCACGAAAAAGCGGACATATGTTGACACTGGCGAATTGGGAGGGCACAACCGGAAGTTTAGACTTAAGAAGCACCTCAAAGAGATGGTGACCTTTTTGTTAATGTTACGGGTTGATGAATACGTGAGCACATAATTACAGGTATCATGGTCTGGAAGAAGGAAGATTAGTATTGATGCTTGGAAATTAAAATGTATCTACAGCTATTACCTTACGCCAAATATCCTTCTACCTTGCACTCTGAAAGTCTCACTTGCCAGTAATTGGATCAAGGTGTTCGATATCCACAGACTTTAAATGTTCCACTTTTGTTTTCCCCTTCCACAGGGTTCTTTATTTTCAAAACAAATTCCATCATGTACAGTATATCCATACCAATAATACAAATAGTTAAGGAAATAATTTCCATACATAATGGCTTAAACACAGATAACGATCATCACGACCGAAAACTTTGTGGCAGATTTAAAAAAAAGAGTACATTGTGTTACTCTGTCGTACATCACAATGTAAAAAGCTTAGTAAATGTATAATGAAGGTAGAAAATAAAATCGAACCAAATGTAATCATATCAAATCAAATCGAATCAAATGTAATCATAAAAGATCAAATCGAATCAAATTATATGAAGTAAATCCATGTGATTTCCATGATTCCTATGTCCATCTCGAATTTCAGTATCGTCGTTTTCAGAACGTAATAATTTGGTTATGATGTACTCATATAATCTCAATTTTAAAAGTGTTTTATTTTAGTTCTATTCAAAAAGCCCCTTAACTCTTATCCTGCCACAGGGCTAATCCCCATTGTGCCAAGCCCCAAATCCCCCGTGCCAGGTTGTTTTGGAGATAATCTG